ATGTATGTTTATTGCAATACTTAATTCATACACGAGGACGGTAAGAGTGAACACTTGAGCGTGGTGCCCTCTACGAACCAGGGAGTGAAATGTTCATCCAGAACCAAGTCCAGTCAAATTTCGCAATAACAGAAAAGTTAGCCCACGAGGCAATAATTCAAAATACTCTGCCACGTCAATTTTTCACTCCCAACGAGATCCACTCCTATCTAAGTCTAATCAAGTCTACAAGTACGACCTAGTTCATCCTCATTCCAATGACCACACCTCTTGTAGACTTTCTCTGGCCTCAGCTGGTCACCAAACACACGCCACCCTGGACTTATAGACCAACATATAGAGTGAACATAGATAAAGAAACCAAAGAAAAATCAGTAGAAAACCATATAGTTAGAAGCTCCAACATTGACTGGTCAAACACAATATTTATTTATACAGACGCCTCGTCCCATAGTGACAGCACTGGTATTGGGATCGGACTAGTAGCCACTGATAGCACTGGCGAGCTCATATACCAGTGGAAGTCAAATATTGGAGATAAAGCATTGGTGTACAATGGGGAATTGGAAGCAATAACCCAGGCACTAGAATATGCCACTACTAGATGTCAACCTGGCTAGCAAATTGAAATATTCTCAGACAATCAGGCAGCACTTCAAAGATTGACATCACTTTCAGACTACCCTGGACAGTCCTATCAAATAAGAGCTTTGAGGGCATCAAAAATAACATCAGATAATTATGCAACAGTTGTATTAAACTGGATTTCTGGGCACTCAGGTATCATAGGAAATGAAATAGCAGACAAGCTAGCAAAGGAAGGATCAAGAGAGCCTCCAGAAAAGGACGAAATAAGTTTTGCCATGATTGGAGCTCAGATGAAAAGTAATATTCAAAATCAATGGCTTGAATATCTCCTTTGCAAGGATACAAAATTGAACTCAAAACCTTTATCATACAGGAAAAAATTCAACTGGTAATTAAACAAAAAGATGCAGGTGCCTTCTGAAGCAAAAAGGGCTGTAACTAGTGCTTTCTTTCAGCTAAAGATAGGCCATGGATACAACAAGGCATACCTTTACAAACAGGGACATAGCACCAATGACAAGTGTAGATGTGGGAAGCGAGAAACACCGGAACATCTTCTACTCAGTTGCAGCAATTACAAGCATAAGAGGAAAGATCTCAAGGAGAAAATGAATGGAAATAATCTCACATTGAAGTTGCTCCTTCATACCAAGATTGGCATAGAAAAAACAATTCAATACATTGGCAGCACTAGAATGTCACCCAGGGCATGGCATCTAGAGAGAAATGAGGAGATTTAGGAATAATTTAAAAATAAAAATAAATTGAAAAATTAATTGAAAATATTATATATATATATATATATATATATATACATAGGGCGTGTCCCTCACTGTCCATAAGAGCACAGCGTAAAGTTCAACAGTAGGAACTTACAACATGTAGCTAGTATCTTATTTGTAGATTCTAGGAGTCCTCCATAGTCATTGACTCAGTTAGGACTATAATACAAATCTAATCTAATCTAATCTAACCAAACACACGCCCACGTCGATATTTATACCCGACGGAGGACACAAAGCGTGGCACACAAAACTGGGAGTCAGTTTTTGGGATGGATGTGAGAGGGATTAGGACAAGTTCACAAGATGATGCGAAGGATGCATACAGCCTCGACGGGCGTGAAATTTTGAATACAGGCAAAAGTTTTATGAATTGAGCTTTGTGCGCGCCGAGACTTCTTTTGCGAAAGTGCAGCTGAGACTTTAAAAATAAGCAAACGATGAAAGCTGTTGTGGTCCGCTTCCTGGTGGTGTTCTCCGGTATAGTCTGAGTAGCCTGGGCACCTACTTCACTTGGGAAGGAGACGCTCCAGACCATATTTCCCGCGGAGAAAAGTAAATGGATGATAGTGGCATGTCTGGATAACTCAGGGTAAATTAGACGCTTCCCTGGGTAGGTATTCACGGATGAGGGTTGACTTGAGGTGATGAAAAATCCACCATAACTACGCAGTGATATTCGCAAATGAAATCTGAGACATGAGTGCTCTTCTCTTACGTTGAATCATCTATTCTGTACTTTTCTTTGATATTGTGTCATAGCTAGATAGCTGCATACGTAATTAAATTTAATGCAAAATAAAGGGCATAGGCTATCTAGTTCAATGAGCTTCTCTTTAGCACAGGTCACACATTTCACAATGCTCCTACCCTCTTTTTTTACTTGAAAGATCCTTGATATATTGCCCGTGATAAATAGCCATTCAGCTCAGCGATTACCCGTGGAACTCGGCTACATTTTCCACGGAACCTTCTACCCCAAAAGATAAAATTCTCAAACAACCTGCTGCCATAGCCAGGCCAGGCCTAGACTCTGGAGCCACATGAGGTGCGCATATTCATCTATATCTCCCTTTTTTATAACATTAGAGGCCAGCTTGATCTTGTCCACTTTTGCTGTATCGGGTTCTGGGTATGCACCAGAAACTCATCGGATGGCTTTTCCTCCATGATGAAAGGTTGGTGACGAGTATGGCTCCGATGCCACCATCGGATATGATCGTGGTTATCCTCAAGATAATGGTGATGTATGGAATTGTTGGAAAATAAAGATGATGTAGATTGCGAAAGCGGTTGGAAATACTAATCGAATTCGAGTTGAAGGTATTTCTCAACCCCGGCTCTGCAGACTTTACAGTAAACCCTCTCGCCTGTCTTTCCTCAAGATATAGAGCCCCGATATGATAGTGACCCTCTACACGCAGAAAGCGGTACTCTGCATCCTACGGCTTTGAATCTGAATTTGAATTCATTTAGCCCGATTTGGCGCCCTATGGGCCCCATGCAGGTGTCTACGAACTTTAATATTAACATAGGAGGAAACCCTGTAGTAAAAAGCCCCTTAGCTGTCTGATTGGACTCTACGCCATTATACTCTTACCTCTAGGAATTGCACTAACACTGTTGTTGCCAGTATGGATCCGTCCTTGTCCTGTATTTCCATTATCCTCTCTTCGCCTGATTAACGCCTCGATTTCTCCGGTCATCCGAAACTGCTCTAGCCATCTTTCCTTTTGAATCCACTGTACAATTCTAGTCACTTCTTTGACGTTATTTACCATAGCTTCGAAAGATCGGGTTGTCGATTTTTGTAGCAATTCGCCTCTTCCCTTTGCCCATCTTTGACAAGACATCACCATGTACTTTATATTTAGGGACGGATATCCACATTGGCAGCATAATTTTCCTACTCCTAGCACATTCCTTTTGTATTAGTAAGCATTGAGCCCAAAGTGCTCGCTTCTTACCTGTGTGGCAATGCTGCCCTGGGTCCTGCTAAGGTTTTGGTGAATTTGGATAGGTGACTCTCTATAGTTTATCATAAGTCTACCTATTTTCTCGTAGTCATATAAGTTTACAGCTCTCCTTATCCTACGGCTTACATATCTCTTTGCGGTTATACCTAGCGTCGTAATTTGAAAGTGGGTGATGGTCGGTGACTGAAAAAGCAAGCTCTCATCTGCATTAGAGCAGTTCCTTTAATGGTCGACGAGGCTATATTGTATGTGGTAAGGTCGAGTCAGAGGAACTGTAGGAATGTGACTAGATAGATGTTAATGGTAAGTAATCGATTATTGATCTGTTCAGGTTTGCATTTCACTTCGATCCAGATGCGTTTCTCCTCAGCTATCACAGATATGCTGGGCATACCAAGCTTTTATACCGGCACCGCTCGAGGGTGAATTCTTTATATTTGACAGCCGGGGGTGCGATTAGACGCCTTAAGGATCTTTGTCGAATACAGTAAAGCTTAGCTACCGAACTTTATTCCTTCAGCTCCGTCACCTATTTATCAGGTGTCCATGAGGTTTGGACTCGACATTAACAGCCCCTGTATTGGATAATGTTTGATCCGAATGCATGAAGGAAAAGGGTATTCAGCCTTGTTGAATCCGGGGACTATCCATTTCTAGCGAGATTGTGACTACTCCAGGATATCACATGTGGACCCGATGTGAGACGGTACAAGGAATGCGGTCACTTCAGCCTTGTCCTAGTATCCACGAGATTAGGGGGCTGTGAAGGACTGTCTGAAGGGTTCTTCGAACGTCGCCGGCCATCTGTCGCACCGTCCATATGATGGCCGGTGCACGACTCTTGGCCTACCCTAGCTACATAGGGGCCGGATCCTAGTGCGCGAATCTAGAGCGCACGTCCTGCATCAACATCGATTAATGTGAAAATAATAGCAGTACATGGCGCTCGTTGTCACAGCTTGTCATCTTCCCCTGATCTAGGCGATTCATTAGACAATTTCAGAAACTACCATTAGTGCCAATCTGAAGTTTTGGGACGCACAGGGTCCGGGGAGGCGGGCGCGCGTGCGTGATATGGATTCGCCAGGAGTTGGGCAAGCATCAGATTGAAACTACCGGTCTATTTTGAGTGAAAACCGTTGCGCTCGAAACATCTACATTCAACATTGAAACAGCATAGGTGCTGATAAATGTCTAGGCCTTAACAAGATCTTCGTATTAATCAGAATTTAGTCTAACCAGACAATTATCGGGGATTGAATGTTGACCCAGATATGTTGTGAAAGCTTCAAGTCCTTGAGTGACAACCTGTACGAAAAGTATTTACCCCACTGATGTACGAGCCGCGATAATCTACACGCTTACAGCCATTCTTCCATCTTTGATAAATTGCTCCAACGAGAAAATGAAATGACGGCTGCTTTGGACGTCCCTTATCGTCAATCGGTCTTTTAAGCATGATCACGAGATTACATCAATGTGGTAGCAGTCAGACTTAAAGGCTTAAGTAGATGTTTAACGAGTCAGACTTCAACTAAGTATCACAAATGGAACTAGATGATAGAAGTAAATAATAATGATATTTGGCATTTGTTTTCAATATTCTCAGAATAATACATGCCCAATCAATTTCCAACCGTCTGCAAACTGGGAATCATAGAATCAGGATGGAGAGAATAATTATAAGAGCTCCCACGGTACTTATGGAGTTCTGAATAGTGTCACCTTTGCTGATGCTTGTGGGTACAGGAAAGTCTTTTGATGATGTCCTGACTGGACGCGAGTCGAAAACACTGCCTGTAATTGCTGTGCCTGTTCGGTTTGGGGAAAAGATTATGGTAGAACCCTGAGAAAATGAAGGTAATTTCTTGTATGAACTTGGATTAATAACTGTTGATGAGCTTGAGGTACAGATATCAGCAGTTGATGAGCTTGAAGCAGTAGTGCTTGAATCAGCGGTGCTTGAAATAGTGGTACTAGTATGAGTCGTACTAGTAACAGTGGTACTAGTTTCGCCAGGTCCAGCGACAACGAGCATAGTAGCTCGGGTTAAGACCTCAGAACCTACTCGAGTTGACTTCGTGCTAGAGCTTGAACCAGACTGTAGAGTAAGAACGCAGTCGCCCGATGGAGCGGCTTTGTCAAGTCTACACGCAGCATTAAATGAACTATAAACGTCAGAATATAAAGTTTTCATAAGAAACACTGTTGATGAGGTTTACCAGTTATTTTTGAGTGTATAGTTGTAACTTATAGCTACCGAACTTTCTGTTAACATGAGATTCCGAGGAAAAGTACAGCCGGGAACGGAATTAACACAATTGATTAGCCCTATTTAGTCTTAATAACTTCTCAATTCACTGGGAAACGATTGTTTACATGTCGTTGATTCTCCGTCCTAACATTTTGTTAGCTTCCGTCTTAATTGAATTCTTAAGATGACACACAGAGAATTTCTTGGAGCCCTCGATTGTACCCTCATATTTCCCCAATACCCATACTTGCCTCCATTGTTCCGCGAAAACGCAACCCCAAAGCAGCAAAATTGTAAAGAGCGTGGAAATTAGAAACATCTTAATCAAAGAAAGTTGGGCTACTAGTTAACGCATTTCAAGAAAAACTTGGGATTCCGCTCAAAGATAACACTTGAAAATCTATGAAACACTTAAAACCTGACTCATATCACTTGATCTACTGTGAGACAATCTACTTTTTTCGTAGTTATGTCTGCTTGAGAAATTAAACTTTGTTTAGTATCACGATTAAGACCCGAGAGACAGTGCAGGGTGAAAGTTACTTGGCATTTACGATCCAAACTCGTCTTAAATATTGTTGAATGCATTTTACAATGCGGAGAGTGGAGTAGAAATAATATGAGACAAACAGCCGTAGAGCGTGATTCTCACAAGAGAATGGCTGGGGTAATTGTGGTGCTCGCCTTTTTCATCTCATTCGGAACCATATAAAGTTGAGACCAACAGGACATATGATGCAGGGATTCTTCATCGGAAATAAAGTATCTTGACATTTACTCCTGGTCCATCTCAAACTGTAGGTAAAATTACGAGAATTGCATGAGAGTCTGGCCGTCGTTGATGCTTTGATAAACAAGGAGCCATTAGTAGGCCTATAGACTGGTTCATCTAGTTTATCTCGCCTAGTTAGAACACTGTATGCGATTAAACTTGATGGATCCACATTTCTTGAACTAGATTTTTTTTCTTTATGTGAAATTTTCACCATCATTTGCTGCCTTAATCTCTTACCACCGGCCCATCGTCTTAGCAGCCTACTATTGGTGAATTCGATCAATTGTGTAATCTGACCGGCAGAAGTATCAGTCGTGCACTTCTAATATTTATGTCGAATAGATCTTCAGCTAATCCTTACTTCTGACAGCCTCAAACTTCGCCTTTATTGATAGATCAAAACATATAGCTTTGTTGGTGCTTGCGGTTGGCTTCGAGGAGCCTTCGAAGTACTGTCAAAATCGGCTTACTTTATTACGACCACATACTTTGTTAACAATTATCGACGTTGCTTGACAGGGTCGTTATCAAAATGCAAGTCAGATCTACCAACTCAACGGGCTGACTATGACTCAGGTAGGTAAGAAGGCTATTTTTGGACTGACAACTAGATGTCAGGGTCTATCCGTCAGTTTCAATCCTAGGTGAGATCCGCGGCTCACTATGTTTACTGATCGCCTGGAACTGTGAAAAGAAGGTTTTGTGCGACCGATAGTCTCCACCTCAATTCTTAAGCAGTCATTCTTTGCAGTAGGAGGGTCACGGCTTATACGGTCTAGAAGCCGGTTTATCTAGAACTGATAATGCCTGCATATCCATGCGATTATGATCGTGGCAGCCAATATAATACCAGGATTACATGAAAGACTAGTCATAAACCCACCTCGAACGAGGCTGTCAATATAAGAAGGCAGATGATGGGCCAGAATTTTTGCTTTTAACCATGCACTATTTTGTTATAGGTGAGAGGTTAACAATCATGCTATACAAGCAATTTAAATCTGATGCAAAAAAAAAATTCATGCCATACATCGGCAAAATCGAGCTCGCAGACGTACATCACTGGGGAATAATATTATCTGCATATAAATACTGCATCTTTGTATCTACGTTTAGTTTAGGGTCAAGAAACGACTAGAAGCGTATGTGTGTGTGTTTGTGTTTATTGTGCTACTTGAGTCTATGACTATCTAGCACATTGGGCTCCTCTCTGACCTAGGCCACACCTTGTACAGTGCTCCTATCCTCTTTTGTTACTTGAAAGATCATTGATATATTCCCCTTGATGAATAGCCATTCAGCTCAGTATTTACCCGTGGAATTCAGCCACCTTTTCCACGGAACCTTCTACCAAAAAAAAAATTGGTAGCAATGGAAACTGCGTGCGCGGGAAAAAGTCTCAAAAAACCTGCAGCCATAGCCAGGCGAGGCCTAGACACCGGGTCCACATGAGGTGCGCATATTCATCTATATCTCCCTTCTTTGTAACTGTCGAGGTCGATTTGATCCAATCCGCCATCTCCGTATCGGGTGCTGGGTACGCTCCGGAAACTCATCGGGTGGCTTTTCCTCTGTGATCAAGGTTTGCTGATGAGTAGAGCTCCGACCCTACCATCTGATCTGATTGTGGTTATCTTCATAATAATGGTGATAGGGGAATGTGTTGAGAGATGAAGACAATACAGACGGCGAAAGCGATTGGGAATCCTCTTCGAAGTGAGGACTTTGTTACTCAATCTCGGCTCTGCAGACTCTACAGTGAGAGCTGGAGGTTCGTAGGGGACACCGCTGACAGGTGTTGAGAATAGTCCCCCAAAACTCGAAGCGTAGTATGGCCTACGAAACATGTACGAAACAGCAAGATTTAGGGATTCATTTCAAATTGGTATATTTGAATACGAGGTGATATAGACTAGGACAAATAGCATAAAAATTCAATATTTAGAAGGCTAGCAATCTCTAGGAGTTTAAGTTGGCCATTTCTATCGGGTTTCATACAATGATTGATTGGATCCGTGTTTGATTTTCGGCGCCTGATTAAAGTATTTGCACGTATAGGCTATTTCAGGTTACTATATTGTCATACAGAAGCTCTAGACTGAAATTGACTGTACGAGCAAAAATGTCAAGGATTTGGTGCGATTTTTCTTTTCATTTTCGAGATAAATATCTTAGTTTTACTACACGTAAAAGTTAGGAGTGAAATTGAAGTCTGCTATTTCAAGTATGACGCATGGTGTTCTTCTGTATTAGCATCCGACACGATGACTTGGACTTTGTAATGGATTAATTTAAAAAATGAGAGTCTCCCCATGTACACGGTTTTATAAGTCTAGCCGATAGCTGTAATTGGTCTATCTCGGCTGAAAATAATCACAGAGTTAAGGCCTTGAGCACTTTTTGTCGAGTTAAGATTCTAGAAGTCTTCCACAGTCTTAGACTCAGATGGGCATGTAATAAAATTCCTAATTTATCTTATTTTCGAATAGAATACTCAAGGGAAACCCCTGGTGGTAGCATGGCGTGATAAAAAATGATGCCTGAAGACGCAGCTTCTTCCCTTGCCATACTGTGAGGGACAGAAGATCGTCGAATTTCCTGCTCGCTAGCTTCCGCTAAAAGACACGAGATGACGTGGCTGAAAGAGAGGGCTCAAGAAAATCGTGGCATGGATTCTGGAAGGCGAAGAGAATAAATTCTGGATTCAAGGCCGACGCACAATTGCGCACTGAAATGTCGCTCTCGATTACAGCGTGTGGGAAAGACCCTCTCTACGGATCAGCGGGCTACGCGAGGCTGGAATGGAAAAGCGGGCGAGCAGCAGAACATTTCTGATTCCATCTAGCTCCGATCGACTTGGGTGTTTGCTGGCTATGCTCTACCCATGAGACAGGGCCGCCTGTAATTTTGGTAGTGAGCATGCGAGCGCATGAGTGGGTCAATGCATAATATACGATATACCATGTCCGATGGGATGTCTCCCCGGTTTATCTTTCTGATTCATGATGTCTTCGCTGGCTTGGAGCGGCATCTCCGAGGGTCTTCAGCTGGAGGAGGCAAGTCAAGCTTTCCGTGGCTATTTTGCTCAGGTTTTTCGTGCCATGATCTCGCATACTATCAAATTATCTCTTTAGAGTGCAGCTGACACTATTAGCACGAGCAAACGATGGAAGGTGCCGTGGTCCGCCTCCTGGTGATGTCCTCTGATATAGTCTGAGTAGCCTGGGCACCTACTTCACTTGGGAAGGAGACGCTCCAGACCATATTTCCCGCGGAGAAAAGTTGAAAGATGATGGAGACATGTCTGGATAACTCAGGGTTTTTGAGACGTTCCCTTGGGTGGGTATTCACGGATGAGGGTTGACTTGGGGTGATGAAAAAGCCACCATAACTACGCAGTGGTATTCGAAAATGAAATCTGAGGCATGAGTGCTCTTCTCTTACGTTGAATCATCTATTCTGTACTTTTCTTTGATATTGTGTCATAGCTAGATAGCTGCATACGCAACTAAAATCTGATGCAAAAAAAAAATCTCTCTTTGCTAATTGGGCATGACCCTCATCATCTATTGGCAAAAATTAAGCACAACGATATCCAAATTTACTATTAACTTTAAAGTTATTTAGATAGTTTTAGCTGTCATTCATAGTCATAGACTCAACAGGGACATAAATTAAATTCTATTCTATTATCTTTATGCTGTTCATGTGAGCCTAGCATACAACCTTGGTACAGTATAGGTCTAGAGGCTACATGATCTTTTGGCAAATTCGGCATGGATATATAATTTGGGGTGCTGAATCTTGCCAGTCATTAAGACTTTGAAAGGGCCGGATCGTAGAATTACAGAACGCAGTTCCCGCATACCTCGAGGCTTCTCCGAACCCGAGCTCAAGATCTGTGCATCTTACCGACAGTGTGCTTCAGCTAGTGCCTCCTCTTCGCGCTAACTGTTATATGTTAGTGCCAGCAAGATTAGATAGAAGTAGGCAGCGAAAAAGATTAGCCTCGGTTCCAAACTAAACCTTACATACTTGTCCTGTATTGCGATAGATTAAGAAGTTGAAGTTTTATAATCTAACACGGCATGGATCGCGAGCACAGTGGGACATACGACCTGTTATAATCATTGAATTGAAAGATACCCCCTCGTATATTTAGCGAATCACGTCAGTGTAAACGGAATGCAGGCTAGGTCTGAAGGAACGCTACTCAAAAAAGCCATTGAAAGTCTGAGAATGGCATCCTGGCACACTGAAGGATAGGTAGTTTCCTTAAAATCGTTGATGATAACGAAGTTCTAATACATAAGTGGAGACACAGAATACGAAACGTCTCACCTTACTTTCCGATTGTCCGGAGCCTCTTAGCCAAATAAAGGGTTTGTTGGATCCTATCAAGCTACCAGAGAATATTTCTCGACTACGGCGGTTTGATCGACTGATGAACTTATGTACCCGAGGCCTAAATGCTGTGGTTTGTCTTTTACAGAATGGGCAGTATTGGGAATCATTGCAGAAAAGGTAGCCCTTGAGCTTCGCAGCTACACTATTTCCTGTCGGAGTATTGGCACTAACCCGAGGTATTTCATGGTATGATCTATTTTCTCCAGGCCACTCATCATCATTCCTATCGCCTCGCAATGTTCCCATTTTCCCTTCCTTGATAATTCAAGCATTTTGCTCGCAGCTTAAATGCTAACACATCCTCAGCCCCAGGTGACCATTTACTTAGGCAGCTTCGGCGTGTCCATAAAGTGTGCGAGCAAAGGCAACGTCATATCTGCCACACGGGCTAATTGAGATTTGCGTACGCTTGGCCGTCCCTAGTAACTAGAGGCTAACCCTGACACTAGCTAGGTCAGGGCTAGAAGACCAGAGGGCCCTGTTACGAGCCCCCCAGTCAGGATTAGGGTTAGGCGAAGAGAGTTGTGTTTGGAGTTAGAAGAAACAGCAAGATTTCCTTAATTGGCTCCTCCCCCCCGACCCACTGAGAGATCTACCCTCATAATTCCTTTCTAGGACGTACTTTACGTTCTTCTTGTGTTATACTTACTCTGTGCACGAGAATTGACCGGCTGATTAAGCTGACCTTCTTCGTGAGTGGGCTGTATTTCTCATCATACAGAGTCCATATCCTTAAGGTTCCCGCACCCATCAATCGGTGCATCACGCTCGAAATACCACTAAGATACGTTGTATTGCTCATTCTCCTTGCCATACCTCCGGTCTCTACAGCCTAATATTCTGATCGTATTCTCTGAATTTCTACATTCCTCCATGATGTTAAAAAAAACATCTTTCACTACCATTACTCCCCTCCCGTCTAGGGTAACCCGACAGATAGTCTTGGAAACACTTCATTCTCATACCGAAATGATTGTATGTTCCATACCTCAACCGCCTTTAATAGCATTAATTATAAAACTAACCATTTAAACCAATCAGAACCTAAATCCGCTTGTGGAGGAACATCGGCTCATAAAACCACCGCCAAACGCAACAGCAGAAGAGTATCATTGTCTATGGTATGCCTTGACGGATCGAGTACAATATTTGCCAGGTGGTCTCATGTCAGGAAAAGTATCTTACAATGTGTGTTTTCACGACTTGGTAAACGGCTTACAAGCACATTCATACGCACCCATGGGACTAAACGTCAAGAACAAGTGGACGTTGTGTGGATCGCTTCCGGGTGAACCTATAGCTCCAGTCGAAATCGGAGTCGGTGCACCTTTATCCGGACTTTATATTCGAGAAGATGTTATTATGCAATGCAATTTCATGACCACTTCGTTCGTCAAAAGAGCAATTAAAAAAGCTCACGGGGTACTCATCAATCGTCTTGTGGCTAAAGCACAATTTTCAGACTCATCCCTTGCTAGAATAAATACAGGGCTTCCGGTAACATCGCCATCAGATTATGAGCCTATGGAGTTCGGTCGAGACGGGCAGAACACTTCTGATGAAAGTACTAGCCAAGATGCCTACACTAGCCTTCATTCACAATCTAAACTCCGACCAGTACAACCAACAATTACATATCACGATACAGATAGTAATAGTCTAAGTGCCCGCATACCACACCGGTACTCTCCGACGAGCTCATGGAGCGGAAGTGTTCACAGCACGCGTGCGTCACATTCATGTAGTCCTGCGACACCTCGAAGTTTATGGCAAAATTTAAACCCTCCTGGACTCAATAATGATATAGTTATTTTGGAACCTGGAAGCCAGAATATCTGCTTTGAGCTTGATGCGCCGGAATCTCTATCACTCGAGAAAGCTGCGAATCACAACTCTAACTTTATGAGGGAGAAGACAACCGAAACTGGCTGCTACACTGGCGGAAAAGAAACACAAATAATTCAGCAAAATAGTTTTGGGCCTGTTGAGCTTGAGGGTTCCATGCCAACATAATATTTCTCTTTGGTCTGCTACGTTACATGGAGTAACTATTTTTCTGGGTTGAAAGATTTATTAAGCGAGGTGTTTGGGTGGTTTGGAGTTCGCGGAGTCTTTTATTTACGAAAACATATGTCTGTTGACTACATTATTTGAAGACACGATGGAGGAAATATCACTACTAACCTGTAATATTCTATGTATTTAGACACCCTCACGGCTTCATGACCTCGTCGGAGGAATTATCACTCTTTCACAAATATATTTTGTTTATTAATAGAACCTTATAAAGACTCAGTTCTTACAACTTGAGATTCCTCTTCAATATTCTGGTCAAGGGCTTTTATCTCTCCTTCCTCACCTTGCTGCTTATCACTAGCACAGTCCGCTTGGTCATTGTGAAATTCCTCGAAACAAATTGACGAATTATCTGTAACCTCATGAGTCTCTGGCACTAGTCCGTACACTGTCGGGCTAAGTTCTGAGTCTCGACCAGTTTCAGTCTCGCATCCCGAATCTTCTTCAGTATCGTTGCGGAGCCCCGGCCAATCATTTTCTTCATAATCATCTGCATTGCACGATGAGATCTGGGCAAATTTTTCCTCTACAGTCGTAGATACGGGCTTTATCTTTTTCGTGGTAGACTCGTCATCTTCATTAGCTTCGAATACGGTGGTGACAGCAGATCCTACAGATGGAGACTGTCGAATATGCCTTCTGGTGTTATTCCGATTCATAAGGAAAGAAAAATCTTCTTGTGGTGTTAAGGGGTCTCCAGGTGATACATTTGGCTTCAAGATAGACATTACAGGTTTCATCTCGGTGGCCGGTTCAAGGCCCTCTGCTTCGGGTGGCAGTTGGTAGTTTTCGGCTGGTAAAAGCTCATATGTGTCGGATACTAGCTTGAAAAGAGTATAGAGTCCCGTAGAATTTTCAACCGACCAATAGACCTGTCGATGTTGGAACCATGCGTGTGCAAAGATGCGATGGAGGCGCCGGAAAATATTGGTCAAGTGCGTAACCCCTACACTCCTCTCTGCTATTGTATCGCCCGCGCCCAAACTTAGACGGCTGGGAAAGAATTTTTGTGAAGTGACTATATTAGTTGCCCAATCAAGCGTGTGACAGCAGTAGTCAATAGCACAGCATGGCCTGGGTATTTGGTGAACAGCACAGAGAAATTGCCACTCTGAGGCTCGCATTTCAGGACAAGTCTTTGCCGAGCAAGGAGGATCGTCGAAGAGAAAGCCGAGAATAAGATCGTTACACTTGTTAATTAGGAAACGACAGAGCTCATAAAGCCATAGCGCTTTATCTACACCTTCGGGGGGGGTTGCAATCATCCGGGCATCCTCGCGCGAGATAGGCCCGATCGAGGCATGGCTAGATGATTTCGAACAGTCATAGTGTAGGGCCTTAAGGTGTTCCTGAAGCTGAAAGGCTGAATCAAGCTACCCCTAATTAACACGCCGTGTCAAGAGTGGGATTCTGGCCATACGAGCTTACTTCGCTCAGAGGGATGAGGGACGGTCCAGTGGCCATATCTGCCGCGCGTGTTCCGGGATGGATGCGTCGTTTGGAGTTGGCCTCTATCACACTTTGCTCAACATTGAGCAACTCTTCATTATGAGATCTAGCCATTGATGTTGATTTTGGTCCAATTTGTATTTCTGTTGGCGGAGGCGGACTAGGAAGCCGTGGTGAAGTTGGTGGCATAGCTATTTTCATAGGATTCCTCTTCAAAATGATATGATTGATATGCAAGGACCACGCGCTCATCACTGAAGATTTAGGTACCACACTAGGTTTTGACAGGGCTACACTACGCGATATATCCCCTGCTCTCTCTCTACTGCCCATAGCGTCTCCGACGTGGATGCACTCACTATCGACGCACAGCAGCCATCATGAGTTCCGACGATGAGATACCCCCGCAACTGGTCGATGTGAGTGAGGAAAACAGACAAGATTATTCAGATCTGATCAAGGTGCCAATAACCATTTTGACTGGTACGAGATAACTACGTGATATAAGGCTCCTCTGATGTTATTGCAGGTTACCTTGGGGCTGGTAAGACGACGCTAATGAATTACATTTTGAGTGAGCAGCATGGCAAGAAAATTGCTGTCATCTTGAATGGTATAGGGTGATTTTCTCCAATAACCCTACATCTCTGACATTTATCCGTCCTAGAATTTGGTGACTGTAGGATGCCTCTACTCACTCCAATATCAAATTGAACCTTAACCGCCGCAGCACTTGAAATTGAACGGTCTTTGACCGTGAACAAGGGTGGAGAACAGGTTGAAGAGTGGCTAGAGCTCGGAAATGGCTGCATTTGCTGCTCGATCAAGTATGGCGTATCCACACCTCTGGTCATGAGCTAGAAGTTTACATCGTCTAGGGACTCTGGGATTAACGCTATAGAATCTCTTATGGACAAGAGGGGAGCCTTTGATTATATTCTCCTCGAAACTACTGGACTTGCTGATCCCGGAAACCTAGCTTCGATCTTTTGGGTTGATGAAGGTCTAGGAAGCAGCATCTACCTTGATAGTATTGTAACCCTTGTCGACGCGAAAAACATTCTCCAAACTCTCAATGATGAGAGAGTAAAACACCCAATTCGTGAACAGAATGAGGTCCAAGAAAATGAGCCAGTGCCAACCATAGCACATCTCCAAATATCTCATGCCGATGTCATTATAATTAACAAGGCTGACCTTATTAGTGAAGATGAGTTGTTTCGCGTGAAGGAAAGGATCCGCGCTATCAATGGATTAGCAAAGCTTCACGTTACTGTTAAAGCTCAAGTACCCCATTTAAATGGGGTGCTTCTTGATCTAAATGCATATACTGATGCAAGATCATTGGAGAGCACTCCAATAGGACACAGTGTCTTAGACCCGGTATGTACTCTCAGACAGACAAGATTTATTCAGCTTAAATATCGCTAGACTATAGTAACCACTGCATTTACTTTACCAACACTCAAATTAGAACAACTCCCTTTGATTGACGAATGGCTTCGTTCCATCCTTTGGGAATTTGTGCTACCTAATACAAACGCAAGCTCAGAGAATATTCAGAAACCACCATTTAAATTTGAAGTTCACCGCTTGAAAGCAAGCCTTCCCCTATCAAATGGGGACTTAAAGATAGTTCAAGGTGTGAGAAGCATGTTTGAGATATTAGATGCACCATATAAATCTAGGTCTACTAAAGCCAGCACCGAAGGAAAATTTGTCCTGATTGGCAGGGGTATTCAATGTGAAGAATTTCAACAAAGTCTTCTAAAAGCTATCGCATCTTGATACTCATGTAAAAATATATTGACATATGTACATATATAAATATCAATATAAATATGGTATTAAGGCTTTCAAACTGGAATCAAAATCTATATTTACATCATTGCTTAGCCATGCGCTTTGTCCAGTGAAACTCGAAGAATAACTCCATTATCGGACATTGTCTGTTCGCTCATGGAAATACATTAAGCTCGAAAATGTGGCTCTCTTTTACTCTCCAAAAACTGTAATAGAACTAAAGTTGATGGTGCGGCACTGAAGGCGTAACAAGGGGCCATGTACATGTATTCCTGTGCGCCCGAAATTACTTAAAAAAATTGATTTCGGCCTTTACTGGTCTATCCACAAGAGAAAGTTTTCTGGTATGCTCAGAGTTACTTTGCCATATTTCTGGATACCTTTCATGCATTTGTCCCTGGCTCTAGAATCCCTGTATTCAACATAACCAGAGCTTTTATTCGCTCGTCACGGGCTTATATATGGCATTGATTTCAATGATTACTGGTGACGACAACAATTAAATTAATCTTAATGTGATACTTTGCCATAGCATGTCGAGTGTTGAAAGATATTGAGACTTCCTATGGTCTTAAAGAGGCGGATGATGGAATACTCAAGGTCTAGAAAAATCTCAAGCTGAGCCTTCAGCAAGAGATATGGCTAAGGATACTTAATTCCTGTAATGGACACATTTATGCCATGCCTAGCTCTATTTTATTCCCTCTTAATCAAGGCCGACCTGCGCTCATATTGATATATGAAAAAATTAACAAATTGCGTAATTTTAAGCTCTACTTTTTTTTTTTGCATCAGATTTTAATTGCGTATGCAGCTATCTAGCTATGACACAATATCAAAGAAAAGTACAGAAAAGATGACTCAATTTACAAGAGGAGCACTCATGCCTCGGATTTCATTTGCAAGTACCACTGCGAAGTTATGGTGGCTTTTTCTTCACCCCAAGTCAACCCTCATCCGTGAATACCCACCCAGGGGAACGTCTCAAAAACCCTGAGTTATCCAGACATGCCTCCGTCATCAATCAACTTTTCTCCGCGCGAAATATGATCTGAGAAGTCTCCTTCCCCGGTGGAGTAGGTGCCCGGGCTACTCAGACTATACCGGAGAACACCACAAAGTGGCGGACCATGTCACCATCCATCGTTGGCTTGTTTTTATAGTGTCAGCTGCACTCTCGCAAGCGAAGTCTTGGCGCGCACAAAGCTCAATTCGTGAAACTCTTTCCAAAATTCGAAATTTCACGCCCGTCGAGGCTGCATCCATCCTCTGCATCATCTTGTAAACTACTCCTGATACCTCTCACGTCCATCCCAAAGAACTATCTCCCAGATTTGTGCGCCACACTTTGCTTCCTCCGTCGGGTATAAATATCGGCGTGGGCGTGTATTTGGTGACCGGCTGAGGCCAGAGAAAGTCGACAAGAGGTGTGGTCATTGAAACGAGGATGTACTAGGTCGTACTTGTAGACTTGATGAAGCTTAATGGAGAATCGGACTCTTTGGGAGTGAAAGATTGACATGGTTGAGTAAGTTGAATCGTTGCCTCGTGGGCCAACTTGTTCGGTATTGCGAAATTTGACTGAACTTGGCTCTGGGAGAATATTTCACTCCCAGGTTCATAGAGGACACCGCGTACAGGTGTTCAGTCTTGCCCTCCTAAGCTCTACTTTAAAAGTATGGTTAGCAGTTTCACCTGTGATGGTTAACTTTCCCGTGAGATCATGCCCAATTATTTTTGAAATGTGGACTTTACCAGCTGCAACATCTTGTGACATTCTTCGCCGTCTTCCCTGCAACGAAATATCACGTGTAGCAATTGAATTGCAGGGACCTATCAGTGACCTCCCGAAGACGGGTCATTCGTACATGTGTATTTGCCGCTTTTCGTCACCGATGCCACCATGGTCACAGATAAAGTTTGCGGAAAGTTTAATTTCGTCTCCAAGTCTATCCTACCCGCCCAAGTAATTAATTATATTTTTTTGCATCAGATTTTAATTGCGTATGCAGCTATTTAGCTATGACACAATATCAGATAAGTGTATAATAGATGACTCAACTGAAAAATAGAGCAATCATGCATCGAATTTCATTTGCAAGTACCACTGCGAAGTTATTGTGGCTTTTTCTTCACCCCAAGTCAACCCTCATCCGTGAATACCCACCCAGGGGAACGTCTCAAAAACCCTGAGTTATCCAGACATGCCTCCATCATCCATTTACTTTTCTCCGTGCGAAATATGGTCTGAGATGTCTCCTTCCCAAGTAGAGTAGATGCCCAGGCTACTCAAACTACACCGGAGAACACCACCAGGAGGTAGACCACAACACTTTCCATCATTTACTTTTATTTATAGTGTCAGCTACACTCTCGCAAGCGAAGCCTTGCCACGCATAAAACTCAATTCGTAAAAATTCCTTGCCAAAATTCGAAATTTCACGCCCGTCGAGGCTGCATCCATTCTTCGCATCATCTTGTCAACTTGTTCTGATCCCTCTCACGTCTATCACAAAGAATAGTCTCTCGGATTTGTGCGTCGCGTTTTGCTTCCACCGTCTGGCGTGAAAATCGACGTGGACTTGTATTTGGTGACCAGCTGAGGCCAGAGAAAGTCGACGAGAGGTATGGTCATTGGAATAAGGATATACTAGGTCGTACTTGTAAGCTTGATGATTTTTTAGTGGGGATTGATATGATGGAGAGATTTAAATCATTGCCTTGTGAGCCAAATTTTTTTGGTATTGGTATATTTGGCTCAACCTGGCTCTGAGAATTTTCTACACTCAAGTTCGTAGAAGACACCGCGTATAGGTGTCCAGTCTTTGTCCTCATAAAGAATTAAATTTTTTCTCTGCTCTATGAGATCAGGATCAAAGCCCGATGACATCTGTGCTCATGACTTAATGTTCTGTTCCGTTCCGTTCTATTAATTTACTTACTTGGTAGATGTCAGTCATTGCACTCTTACTGGAGCTTAAGCACGAGTGGGGCCGGATCAGGTTAACTACCGTGAAGTACAGATAAACCTTGTCCCACCTAAATGAACAGACAACTCAGACTTGACCCATGTGTTGAATCATACGAAGCCTGACTGTCCAGAAACCCGCTGTATTTATGTCGTAAAGCAAATTTCTCCTCAGCCTCGGCCACACGCGCCCGAGACCTTCACATCCTCATTGACTCCGAAATATAAATTTAGTCCCAGATCTCATTGTTACTCTAGTCTTGCACCTTCATATCGCACCGTTGGGTTGTTTTCATCATCGGAGATTTGTGTCATCCCACTATGTGTATATTCTCTTCTCTTCCTCCTTTGTACACGTCCTGTTTCCATCATAACTTTCCTCATTAGGGCGAATGTGGAGGTGGCTCGCAGGTGTAGGATCGACTGAGAAATGCTTCGTCGCAAATATTTAAGGAGTTTGAGAGATGTTATTTGTTTGAATACGACCCCCAGATAGACCTATGTCTATTTGAGAATAGTGTGTTGGTGATGGTGAGTTTTTGTTCGACTTTCTTGCGGTTGTTACATCTCTGCCGACTGATTTTTCGAACAAAATTCGAAGTACAACTCCTTCAAGCCGAAAATCCATCGAGAAAAAAATTCATCCCACTCTTTTTCGTGACTGATTCTCGGCTCTGAGAGAATATTTCAGTCCCAGGTTCGTAGAGGGCACCACCGACAGGTGTTCAGCCTTCGTCCTCCTCCTGATTTATTGTTTCGTAATTCATGTAAATTCCAACCATCTAACATGATCGTTACATTATTGTCAGAATAACATGTCAGGCTAGTACCTGACACAATTTGTGGTTGCTTGAGGGAAAACCTTGGACTTGTGGGGAATTTTCAGATAGAAAACACTTGGCGTCCATGAAACAAACGTGGTGGACTGGTATTGACGCGTTTTAGGATTATATCTTGGGTACAACATGTTTGGATTGTGTCTTGAGATGTGAGGAAGCTATTTCTAGATATTATCATCATATGTGAGATATTAGATATTTGTAGATATATACGCTGAGAGAAAATAGGAATATAATCAGACAGAAAATTACATCTCTTAATTCATTTCAATTGAAAGCTCCTGTGTGAGCAATTTTTCCAGATACTTCCAGTCTCATTTATAAAAGCTTCCAAACAAGCTTAAAAGGTTCGACATGCTTTGTGGCATGGGTGGGTAGGAATGGACGCATCAGGACTGAAGATACTCAGCATGGTTTAAGAATAAATGCTTGCGCAATCGGACTCACAAAGATGAACTAAAATTATCTCTGGCTTTAAGCTGATTTCTACTTTGACTTTTTATGAATTTACTAGATTATTCTAAAAATTTGTTCTTGACTGATTCCAACATCTCGTGGGTTCAATTGAAAGAAATTCAGAATCTTTTATTAGCAGCTCGAATGGTGAAGACTTAACACTTCTCAGTGGTATCCGCTACGAACCTCCATCCTTCACTGTGGAGTCTGCAGAGCCGAGTCTCATTAACAAGATCTTCACTTCGATGAGGATTCTCAATCGCTTTCGCAATGTACATCGTCTTTATTTCTCAACACTTCCATACATCAGCATTATCATGAAGCTAACACGATCAGATCGGATGGTGGCGTTGGAGCCCTACTCGTCACCAACCCTTGATCATGGAGGAAAAGTCATCTGATGAGTTTCTGGAGCGTACCCAGAACCCAATATAACAATAATGGACAAGATTAAGTTGGCCTCGAATGTTACAAAGTAGGAAGATATAGATGGTCATGCGCACCTCGTGTAGTTCCGGAGTCTGGGCCTCGCCTGGCTGGGGCAGCAGGTTTCTTGAGAATTCTTCCCGCGCACGCACTTTCAATTACGATCTTTTTTATTGGTTGTGTAAAAGGTTCCATGGAAAAAAATTGCTGAATTTTACTGGTAAATATAGAACTGAATGGCTAACTATCATGGGCATTGTATGTGTCCCAAGTTGATGGAAATTTTTATTATCATTAATATTATTTAAATTCGTGCTAGCCCACGACACATCCTCGTGGCCTCATGTTGGCCAGCTCAGTCTATATAAACTACCCGACGTGGACGTTGATGGAAAATACACGGCGTAAAATGTGCGCGGTTACGTGCTCACGTGGTGCAGAGGCATATTTAAATTATTTATTTATACCCTATCACAGAAAACAATCACATGTTTTTACTCTTAATTTCAATTAACATTCTATCGTCGATTAGCCGGAGCCACAAAACAACAACGAGAGATAATTTTTGATGATAAACTGCCCAACTGGAACCCACAATTATATCAGATATCTATTTTTCGTACCGAAAGAGGAACGGAGCATTATCCAAGGTGTGACCTAGCTCAATAAGTACCCCAATGTGCTAGATAGCCGTTGAACTAGGTATCGCAAAAAGCATCAAAGAATCTAGACAATTCCAAATATTTAGTCAAGGTTAGGTTAGATTCGTATTGTAGAAACTCTATAAGTTGGTTGTGGATCCGCGAAGCCGAAGTCGTCGTCAGTGGACCCAAGTGTGTATACTACAGAATAATGGATGAAATACTTCTGAACACCGATCCAAGTGCCTTTCACCTTTTGCAGCATGGCCATCGGGATATGGTCTCCGCTACAGCCTTTAATAGTTATGGAAATCGTTTTGGAACTGGATCAGTTGATGGCACCGTTAGGATTCACAACAAACATAAAGATGGATCCTGGCATATATGTGATAGTTGGAGCGCCCACAGCTCCGAGATCCATCAAGTATACCAGAACATCTTTGTTTTGTCACTGAATTTGATTGCTCATATCTGGTGCAGATTCAATGGCTCCCAGCAACCATATACCCTAATCTCATCGCCACCTTAGCTGCTGATGGCAAGTTTCGTATTTGGGCAGAAGATCCCACCATTGAACCGGGGTCAGGAAAACGCTTTAATCCTTGTGGAAATGAGCCAGTATTCGAGCTTCGATCTATCTCTCGCTCGCCATTTCTTTCCTTCACTATCTCTCATCATCACAAAAATAGACATACATTTCTTGCACTCATTAACCGCTCAGCAACAGTCGTTGTTTATGAAAATGACGAGCCAGAGAACCTTGAGTCTTGGAATGAGATCGATAGTTTTACTGTTTGCGAAAAGCCAGCGCGTGGAGAAGAAATTAGCTTTCGTGTTGCCTTCGATCCTAATCTTCAGCCAGCATACACGGCCATTCTAGAAGGTGTTCCGAAAGATGCTCTAGGGTTAGTAGTTGCTAGCATGTACACAGCAAGTGTCTGGCGCACAAGAGAAATAACGCACACTGTCAGCCTCGGGAGCAGCAACACAAAAGAATTTTATCGTGCTGTGGATTTAAAGGGGCACAAAGGGTTAGTTCGAGACGTCGCATGGGCACCAGGAAATATTCGTGGTCATGATGTGATTGCAACCGCCTGCAAAGACGGATTTATCCGGGTCTTTCAAGTATTAACCCCACCCAGCAGCAAAAATGAGTTACAGGAAGAAACACTGACCTGTGATGATTCTCAAGAATTCGATAAAACAGAAATCGTTTCTCAGTTTCCAGATCTTCAGATAAGCCAAGTGCCATCTGGCATTGGAGCTGGGTTAGTCGAGCCTCACCCGCCGTCCGATGAAGGAGAAAGGCACGACATTGTCGCGCACATATCAAAAGAAGTGAGTTTGATGGCCCCGGATGATAGCCGTCTACCACCTTGGAAAGTCGAATTTGATTCCGATGGACACTTGTTAGGCTCCACAGGCGATGATGGAAAAGTCACACTCTGGCAGCGAGAACCAAACGGAGAGGGCTGGAGTAAATATTCACAGCTAGTTATGGCTAGAGATACATGTGTCTAAAATTAAATACGACCTCTCCTACCCGAAATTCGAACAATATAAATCCAGTTCTCTTCGATCATTTATCAGATTTGTCTGGAAAATGAAAAATCGCTCATTAGTGTGAAATTTGCATGTGAATGCTTATTTCCATAGAACTTGATGTCTCTACCGTAGAGATGAAACTTCAAAGTGCATAATCCTTATTTCTCATCTTTTAATTTTCATCTGAAATATCAGCAAGAACCCTTATTACCTATTTCATCATGTCTACTATAATTGATTTATTTTTATACCCTCAAACTGCCTTTATTAACTCTTAACTTCATTATCTACTTTTTATGGATCAGTAGTCAGAGTACTGATATTATAATTTGATTTGATTTCAGTAACCTGATTTGGCACCCTATTGGCCCATACAGGCGGCTAAAAACCTATCAATATATATAAATAGGAGAAAATTTTTCGTTAAACATCGCTCTGGCCTCCTGATTTATATCTTGAAATTTGCAATTTATCCTTCAGCAAGTAGAATTACACTATAGTGCCGTCTGTGTACCAATTAAGTACCTTATATTGACCCCAACCTGTTGGAAATTCCAACTCGAATTTAGGACTCGACCATTCTCTATTTCGTCTGAGGTTCCCGACAAGATCGACTCTCTCTACACATATCCCGAATGCGCTAGTCGCACCGTCTGTTACATATATGTTTGGGTACTTACGTACTACAGTGTACTTTGGCTCTTTTTTTTTGAAAATCATTTAATGTGTATTCATCTATAAAGCTATGATACATGACCGGTGCTATGTATACACGTGGGATGACTCTTTTGACTTTAGAGACACTCATACTCTGGTTTTCCTTCGCAACTACCACTATGAGGTATGTTCGCTTACACAAACAGTCGACCCTCCTCCGTTAGTACCCACCAAAGGGAATTTAAAAACCTTTGGTTATCCAAGCATGTCTTCATTATCCATGCATACCAGCGCCGCGAGAAATGTGGTTGTGTTTTTGTTGGAAAGTGTGTATGGGTTCCAAGAGGAAACTCACTCAAAGAATATAGGCACAGCTTCAAAGTACTTCGTAGTAGTTCAATCAAATAAATTATTCACGTAAATCGTTCTTATTATATTATATTATTCGTCGGAATGTTTTAAGGAATGTACATCTAGGTTTCTACATATTACTCGTGTTCTTTGTCTGACGCTAAAACCAATTTCAGTCTAGTGTAATTGTGCGCCAAGTTATTCCTAAGTAGCCTTGCCGATCATCACCGACAATTGTGTAGCTCTAGAGCAAGCAACTGGTGCGAAATTCCAACAGTTTTGCCGGATTTGAACCAGCGATCTACTGTCTCAAGTAGGATATGTGTCCAAGCTATCCAGACTCTATTTGGCAGATCGGCCAAGACGATGTACCACTGCACCATCCAACCATGGCAATGTTTATAGTGTCGCTTGCACTCTCGCAACCGAAGACTTGGCACGCACAAAGCTCAATTTGTAAAAACTCCTTGCCAAAATTTCGAAATTCCACGCCCGTCGAGACTGTATCCATCCTCTGCATCATCTTGTAAACTACTCCTGATACCTCTCACGTCCATCCCAAAGAGCTATCTCCCAGATTTGTGCGCCACGCTTTGTGTCCTCCGTCAGGTATAAATATCGGCGCGGGCGCGTATCTGGAGACCAACTGAGGCCAGAGAAAGTCGACAAGAGGTGTGATCATTGGAATGAGGATATACTAGGTCGTACTTGTAAACTTGATGAGGCTTAGGTAGGAATCGATTTCGTTGGGAGTGAAAATTTGACGTGGTTGAGTAAGTTGAATCATTGCCTCGTGGGCCAACTTGTTCGGTATTGCGAAATTTGACTGAACTTGGCACTGGGAGAATATTTCACTCCCAGGTTCATAGAGGACACCGCGTACAGGTGTTCAGTCTTGCCCTCCGTACTTTGGCTCATAATGGTAGATGATAGGTGGCTGGTCACTACTAGGTTTGACAGGCACATGAGACTAGTGGGGATTTCTCCCATAGATGCATATATAACTCCAATGTTTCAGATTTGGTATTGGAAACATTCTGACACACCTCAAAATAATTGGAAAAGTAGACAGTAACATTTGTAATTTCAGTGGTAAAGAGAAGCAAACCTGCCACCACCTTATATTTCAGTGCCCAAAATTCAAAGCCCAAAGAAAAGAAGAGCTCTCAGATGCTGTGCCACGCAGCCTCAGTTTGCTATTAAATACCAAGGGTGGGAGAGAAAAGCTATTAAAATTTATTAAATCAAGTAACTGTATTAATTTAACAAAAATAGGGGACAGCTTAATTTCATGTAGGAATACACAAGAGGGTGTGCCTAGAATGAAGTAACATAATTTGCACAAATGGATATAAAATGAATAAAAAATTTGAGAAAATGTACCTGATGAAGGACAATTGTAATTTAGAACATTTAATTAGATAGAAGTGTCATAGCTCTAGAGCTGCATACACAATGAAAAAAAAAAAACTCCAGTATTCCCACAGTTGTAAAATATCGAGTCTTCTTCACTTCATCACATATATTCACATATTATCGTATAGAGTATATTTTCCCATACAACTTGTACCAGTCTAGTCTCATTCCCTAAGCTGCATTTTGACTGCATTTGTCATGCGGAATTGTTCTGTCCAACTATGACTAAGAATCCATTGCGTAATTCTTTTAATGTCACCAGGATTGTTTATCATTGCTTCAAAGGAGCGTTTTTGGGCTTCTCTCTATATCTCTCCTCTACCAATTGGCCACCTAGGGTAGGAGATGATCATGTGCTTGGGATCGGTAGCCACATTGACAACATGGGGAGGGCAAGACTGAACACCTGTACGCGGTGTCCTCTACGAACCTGGGAGTGAAATATTCTCCCAGAGCCAAGTTCAGTCAAATTTCGCAATATCAAAGAAGTTGGCCCACGAGGCAAAAATTCAAATTACTCCACCATGTCAATCTTTCACTCCCAAAGAGTCCGATTCTCAACTAAGCTTCATCAAGTCTACAAGTACGACCTAGTACATCCTCGTTTCAATGACCACACCTCTCGTCGACTTTCTCTGGCCTCAGCCGGTCACCAAATACACGCCCACGCCGATATTTATACCCGACGGAGGAAGCAAAGCGTGGAGCACAAATCTGGGAGATAGCTCTTTGGGATGGACGTGAGAGGGATCAGGACAAGTTCACAAGATGATGCAGAAGAGGGATACGTTTTCGACGGGCGTGAAATTTCGAATTTTGGCATGGAGTTTTACGAATTGAGCTTTGTGCGCGCCAAGGCTTCGCTTGCGAGAGTGCAGCTCACACTATAAAAACGAGCCAACGATGGAAGGTGTTGTGGTCCGCCTCCTGGTGATGTTCTCTGGTATGGTTTGAGTAGCCTGGGCACCTACTCCACTTGGGAAGGAGACATCTCAGATTACATTTCGCGCGGAGAAAAGTTGATGGATGACGGAGGCATGTCTGGATAACTCAGGGTTTTTGAGACGTTCCCCTGGGTGGGTATTCACGGATGAGGGTTGACTTGGGGTGAAGAAAAAGCCACCATAACTTCGCAGTGGTACTTGCAAATGAAATCCGAGGCATGAGTGCTCCTCTTGTAAATTGAGTCATCTTTTCTGTACTTTTCTTTGATATTGTGTCATAGCTAGATAGCTGCATACGCAATTAAAATCTGATGCAAAAAAAAAAAAAAAATTGACAACATGGATCGTAGACTCCTGGTAATTTTCTGTGTAAATACGAATTTGGATAGCTAGGCTACTTTGGGCCCTTGTCAGGTTTTTATAGAGGGAAAAAGGAGATTCCTGAGAGCTTATTCTTTGTCGCCTAGAATGTCGGCATTGATAATACGTAGCTGTCTTCCGAGTTTCAGGAATTGCTGTAGCCAATTTTTGAGGCTGTCGACTTCGCTTTAGAGCGGACCAAGATTTCGCCCATTCTAGGTATGCTGCAACTTTCACCACTTCTTTCTGTAAGTCCTTGGATTGCTCCTCTCCGCAAAACTCTCTCCAGTAGGCAAGATCTGCTCTTCTATGGTTTGCTCGAATACCTTTTCTCCCTCTTTTGGTAGCTTGATCATATTACATACAGATTGAATAGTCTCTTGGAATGGTAAGGAATTTGAACCGCCTACATATTGGACCCTTTGTTGCTTCAAGCAGATTTCTATCGGAGGGGTAGCGGTTTCGTGTTCCAGAACCCTTGTCCTAGTCGATTTATATGCCCCTGTGACTAGTTTTAAGCAATTTCTTTGAAAGCTTTGAAGGGGGTTGACTATTCCTTCGGTTGATTTTATAATTAAACAACACTACTAAGAAAGATAAATGGGCTACGGTATTACGTTGTAAATGATGACTAGAGAGTCCAACTGCTACGGATAAAATATATGTACTACTAGTAAGATCAAGTGGCCTAACTAGCTTAAATCAGAATACTGGACGAAATACTGCCCGTAAATAGATACGAATAGCAAACAAGTAAGATATGAACAGTAGCTACGGTTATTTCATATATGCAATTATACAAACCAAAAAAGCATTTCGAAGAGAGTATAAAAATTAACAAAAGCGAGCTCGTAGATATTGTGATTATTCCTAACTTACAAATAATTCTAGCTGCACATATGATGGCTCGACGTGCGAGATTCTTTCTATACACAACGTCATCTCTATTTCATTCATGTTTATTGTGTGTGATGTTTTTATTGCACTACTTGAGTGTTAGACTATCTAGCACATTGGGCTCCTCTCTGGCCCAGGCCACACCTTGTACAGTGTTCCTATCCTCTTTTGTTACTTGTAAAATCGTTGATATATTGCCCGAGATGAATAGACATTCAGCTCAGTGTTTACCCGTGGAATTCGGCTACATTTTCCACGGAATCTTCTGCCTAAACAAATAAAAGATCGTAATGAAAACTGTGTGCTCGGGAAAAGTCTCAAAAAACCTGCTGCCCCAGCGAGGCGAGGCCTCGACACCAGGGCCACATAAGATGCGCATATTCATCTATCTCTCCCTTTTTTGTAACATTAGAGGCCAGCTTAATCTTGTCCACTTTTGCTGTATCGGGTTCTGGGTACGCACCAGAAACTCATCGAATGGCATTTCCTCCATGATCAAGGGTGGATGATGAGTAGGGCTCCGACCCTACCATCGGACCTGATCGTGGTTAGCTTCATGATAATGGTGATAGAGGAATGTGTTGAGAGATGAAGACGATACAGACCGCGAAAGCGATTGAGAATCCTCATCGTAGTAAGGACTCTATTACTCAATCTCGGCTCTGCAGACTCTATAGTGAGAGCTAGAGGTTCTTTTTTTTTAAAAATCATTCAGTGTATGCTGTCACGAAATGGAGTCGTGATTGATCAATCAAACGAAGTTATCGAAGTCTATTCTGATTATCTAAAATGATATTAACATTAGTACTAAACACGATGCGGTCGCGAAGGACTTATGAGACATGGATATTTTACAAATGGGGACTTAGCGTCTCCTAAGATCAATATGAAATGTGGAACCCCTAAGTACTGTGTAGGGAATTCACTCCCTTGGGCCCGTAACATATGCAGCCTAACTAGCTATGACACTTAGAGCAGGAGGTTCGTAAGAGACACCACTGAGAGGTGTTGAGAATAGTCCCCCACTGAGACAAGAGAAAGCTGGTTTGAACCCAGTAAAACCCACACACCACACTCTCTCGCGGTGATATTGTATATGTGGGACGATGAAAGCACACTCGGATGACCACAGGGTTTTCACGCTTTTCCCTGTGGTGGGTGTGCACGGAAGAGGTTATACGCCGTAAGGGTTGGCCTCGAGTGGTTTTTGCAAATGAAATCTGAGTTTGATTGTTCTAAACGTCAGATTGAGTCATCCTACTTAATGTAAATATCTTCCGATAAAAACCTACATGGGCTTCAGGGCGCCAAAACAGGACAATTGAATTATTTACTTTATCGGAGATATACTGACTAATCAAACAACAAAAACTAAGTGGCAATCATTCCAGATGCTAACGCCAGTAACCACACCCAATAAATACAACTTCAAAGTTAATATTCCAATAAATAGGCATTTATAACGTTTGGCCTTTGTTGATAGTCTTGACTGATGTCTTCGCCCTGGGCTGAATAATTGCCACCTAGCCACAAATTATCAAAAATCACTACGATGTAACACTGATCTGGCCCTTTGGATAGCAGTGCCGTATCTCCCAGTTTTCCCCATCATATTCTTATAGCCTTATAACATAGTCCTCAACAATACGCTTAGGTATCCACCTAAACTCAAACAATCGTCGAGCCGTAACCGAGGTAGGTGTTCGTGATGGGCTTGTGAGATAGTAGGAAAGATGGAAAGGTAATGGATATGTTGAATAAAATCTTGTGAGGGGTCATATTTCGATTTTCGGACAAGAGTTTCCCAAATTGAGCATTGTGCGCCACCTGACTTCGATTGCGAGAGTGCATCCGACTCTATAAACACCGCCGCAGTTTGATGGTGCGGTGATACATCATATGGGTTGGTATCCCAAGTAGATTCTGGATAGCTTGGACATATATCCCACTCGAGACAGGAGATCCGGGTTCGAATCAGGCAAAATATAATCACAATTCTCGCGGCGCTGGTACGCATCGATGACGAAGGCATACATGGAGAATCACAGTCTTTGAATTTCCCTGTGGAGGGGACTAACAGAGAAAGGTTGACTGTATGAGTAAGCAAACATACCTCATAGTGGTATTCGCGAATTAAATCCAGAGTTTGAGTTTCTCTAACGTCAAAAGAATCATCCACCACGTACGCATAGCACTGATTATGCGTCATAGCTAGAAAGCTGAATAGGCATTAGATTATTAAAAAAAAAGAGGGGATGTTCATAGCATCTACGTATGAGCCCAGCGATCACATATATTATGTACATACAATTTCGATTACCGAGGCACACATTCATTCAAGGGTGTCTGACATTAGTCCTTCTCCTCAAGCTCCAGTCACAGTAACCTCGTTCGCAAATGAGGTAAGCTTGGTCCAAAAAACCTGGATACATGTGCTAGCTTCATTGTTAGAATTGAGTGGTTCGGTTGGTCCCACGATTAACACAGCCCTCAATTTTCAGAAGTAACATGATCAATTGATCGACTCAGACTTGTTAGTTTTGTCTGTCAAGAGTCACCGTTTATCCTTGCTTCTTGGAGCCAATCGGATCTCATATCGATCCCCTCACTATACCGATGGACCCTCATAATGTCATGTACCCCGCTTACCCTCTGATCCATTACCTGTCTCGACGAAGCAACACAAGGCCAACTTTGTTTTCTCAAGAGGGGAATTGGTCACCACAAGAGGAGTATCACAATGACTGTCGGCAATGTAGCGAGTTTTACGGCGAAGAGGCCCAGCGGATTGGCATATAGTAGTATGAAATAGTCTTGACCTAAAATGAATCCAGCCGTCCCATTTACTTATATATATTTAAATTCAATTGAGCGCACATTCAGTAAATTTTTACAGCCTGATATCAGTATTTTGTCTTACAGACTCGATTTCATTTAATTTCTTCGATTGGTTTTTGGCTCTATCAGTTCCGTATCTTGCTTATACTCTGGGTTGAAACCTGCCGTTTTCCTGCACTCTTCTACTCGCTCAAGTCATGTCATCAAACAAAGATTCAGTTGTAAAAACTTGGTGGAAAGAAGCATCTGTCTATCAAATTTATCCCGCCTCTTTCAAAGACTCAAATGGCGATGGTCTTGGCGATATACCTGGTATCATTTCCAAGCTTGATTACATCGAATCACTAGGTATCGATATCATATGGATATGCCCAATTTTTGATAGCCCTCAGGTAGATGTTGGTTATGACATTTCAAACTATAAAGATATATATCCTCCATATGGTACACTCGCCGATGTGAAAGAGTTAATCGAGAAGTGCCATAAGCGTGGTATTAAAGTTTTAATGGATCTTGTGGTAAATCATACAAGTGACCAGGTGAGTTCTGCTTAATGATAACGCACATATTGAGATCTCGTCTAACGATGTGACAGCATCGGTGGTTCCAAGCAGCAAAAGAGAGTAAGGTCAATGAGTATCGTGATTTCTATATCTGGCGAAAGCCCAAGTTTGGACAGAATGGAGAGCGTCAGCCGCCAAACAACTGGGCTGCTGCGTGGGGAGGGAGTGCATGGCAGTATGACGAAGCTTCTGATGAGTATTATCTTCATCTCTTCGCCCCTGAGCAACCTGATCTTAATTGGGATAATCCTGCTGTCCGAAAAGCAGTTCACGATATTATAATATTTTGGCTTAAAGCTGGTGCAGATGGGTTCAGGTACATCTATTCTCTCCTTGATTTAATGTCTGAGATACTCACAAAGACCTAGGATGGATGTGATCAACTTCATCAGCAAGGATACTGAGTTTCCAGATGCCGAAGTAACACGGAAAGATACAAAATGGCAGTCCGGTCACAAGCATTTTGCTTGCGGTCCAAGGCTTCATGAATACCTCCTTGAGATCGGCCAAATACTGAAAGAGTATAACGCTTTTTCAGTCGGTGAGATGCCCTATGTGGATGATCCCAAAGAGATCATTAAAGCTGTTCGATCTGATAGAGATGAGCTAAATATGATTTTCCACTTTGAGATGTAGGTTGCTGGGCTCAAACTATCATATACTGGGATCTTATACTAATGCGGTCCGAAAGAGTTGACATGGACCACGGGGAGCGTGGGAAATTCTCGCCCCGTCAATGGAAGATGTCAACTCTTAAAGAAATTGTCAACAAGTGGCAGCAATTCATGATCTCCAATGATGGATGGAATGCCCTATATCTAGAAAACCATGACCAGAGTCGTATGGTTTCTCGGTGGGGCTGTGACTCTCCAGAAAACCGAACAGATTGTGCAAAGATGTTCGCAACGTTTTTAGCTTTACAAAGCGGGACTGTCTTCATATATCAAGGGCAAGAGCTTGGCATGATAAATATTCCTCTAGAGAGAGAAGTTAAAGAATATCGTGACCTTGAAACTATCAACGCTTGGAATGAGTATGTAACACTAGTAAGTATTGATCCCAACTAACATGAATTGACAGTATGATGCGTGACTTTCCTGAAGACAAAAAGCTCCACGACATTGTCAAGAAAGAGATACAGAAGAAATCGCGTGACAATGCACGGACTCCAATGCAGGTGCGTTCTTTCGCGCCTCACTACTATTGACCAAACTGATAGTGCGATATAGTGGGATGCAACTACATATGCTGGATTTTCGACTACTAAGCCTTGGCAGCGAGAGAATGAGAGCTACACTTCCATAAACGCTGCCGCTCAGGTTGGGAACCCAACGAGTGTTTATGAGTACTGGGCTTCGTTACTACGTTTGCGCAAGACTTACAAGGATGTGCTTGTCTACGGCGACTTTCAACTCATTGATTCCGATAATGATAACATCTTTGCATACCTTCGTACTTCTACAGATAAAAAGGTATTAGTTCTCGCCAACTTTCGACCATTTAATGTTACATGGAAGAAGCCGGATGGTCTCGGCGCATTAGGACCAATCCTAATTGAAAATGAAACTACAGATATCAAAAGCGAGTGCCTAACTCTTAAGCCCTTCCAATCGTTTGCGTGCTTTGTGGAGTAGATGGTATCGCTCGAGGGGATAAATTTATGTTTCATGCTAACGGGCATAAACAGCAAAGAGGTATGGCACGCCTCATGGGACATGAATTAGTGCAGTTGATGCCTAGCTGGCTTTGTCTATCCCTAAGATCAGAGGATAAGTCGAATCTAAATAGAGCGCTGAATCTATAGCTGTGGATCACAAAGACAATTACTTTGCAAGGTTAACAATAGGCTGAAAATGAATTAATCATCTAAGTAATATATTGGTCACATTTGTGAATATCATTCCAAGTCATTTGAGGTTTGTTTCCCAGGAAAATGCATTCTATGCTCTCAGTTATCTCCTATATTCAGTCTTGTCTATCGATAGCCTCGACCTACGGAGCTTACTCCAAGTTTATCCCAGTGTTAGCAGTCACTTTTTATGCGGAAGTAGCGTTAGACATAATATCCACCATGGCCGTCCTGGTGCGAAGGTAGATGATGACTGCTAAGTGTTATTATACACCGAGAAATACACTTTGCTTTATTATGGCTTATGGGATATCGAAAAGAGGTTTTAACTTCTTGATGAGGAGCCACTCGTCGGTGGTTACATCGGATCGATAAAATTCCTTGAGTGTGTCAATGCTTCGCCTGCTAATAAGCGAGTAGAGCATGTCCTTTTGTTCTAGATGACGGCCATAGGTCGGCTGGTGTCCGCCCATTTCAATTTTAACTGCAACTGATGGCTGTCCCTTCTTGCAGATAGTAATTTGCTTGTGATCTCGTTCAATCCCAGTACTAATTAAAGTTAGTCAAGAGCATCTTTGATAAGTCAGAAGACTTACACTCTGCCGATCTGAATTATTTCCTTGGCCCCTGTAACTGCATTTGTCTTTACAGCCGCGATAGGGGTGTGTAATTTGAGATTACCCTCAACAACATCAACACCGACAACGATTGGATCAGTCTTGTTAAACACTGCTACAGCATTGAGGACACAAGGAAATACAGCATCCATTTTTGATTCTTCTTTCTTTTTCTCGGCAATGAGGGCCATGTGTGCCGTAAATGCATCGAACAAGTGGTAAATAATATCTGCAGTGAAAATCTTGATTCCTTGTTCATCAGCGTATAGCTGGGCTTCTTTGTCAATCTTGACATCGAAGCAAAGCATGACAGCGTACTCAGCATTTTTCTCGAGCATGGTGCCACAATTCATGACATCCCGCTTGAATACAGGCCCAATTCCAACATTAGCAACAGGAATCTTCGAAGATTTAAGAAAGTCCAGTAAAGCTTCAAGCGAGCCTAGTGTTGACGCCTGAACAGTAACTCCTCGTCCTGATTTTTCAACTCGACTAAAGAGAGCTCCAAGATCTGAGATAACTTCTTCTTCGATGTCGGACTCCTCATCGTCTGGACCGACGACCATCAACCTTGAGCCAGCTATGGCTCCTTCAAGATTAGGTGCACTAATTTTGACACCAAGGGCTGCTTTTACTTCTTTATTGTGGACATAGGCAGACTTAAGACGCAATTCTTTAAGTGGCGCTGGTGTTAGTAGGGCCCTTATGTTTGTTGTGATAGCACCATCTACACCACAAAGAACTATTCTATCGCCTTCACGAAGAATACCATTTGAAAGAATAACATCTATGGTCATTCCAAACCCCTCAATAGCTTTAACCTCTAATACCGTAGCTTGAACCTCAGATAGGTACATTAGTGATCCAACCATTCTTTCCTGAGTTAATTGTAATATAAGTTTTAACATATCAGGGATACCTTCTCCGGTGTGAGCAGAGGTTGGAACTAGGGATACAAATTTGGCCATCGATTTATTTTCATAAAATACCTCTGCGTTGAAACCCTGTTCAGCAAATGCGACTTTTGTGTCAGTCAAGCGCTTAAGAAATTCATTTTGTACGCCCTTATTTTGTAGAGCGAAACTCTCTTGGAATCCGTTGTTGTCGACCTTTTTCCAACCATAGAGTCGATCTATTTTATTCAACGCAACAATAAAAGGGGTCTTTCGATCCCGGAGCAACTTCATTGACTCTAGAGTCTGAGGCTCCAATCCGTGCATAATATCGACCACAAGAATGGCAATATTACATAATGATGAACCACGAGAGCGAAGATTTGAGAATGACTCGTGGCCAGGGGTGTCAATAACTAGTAGGCCGGGAACTTTAAAGTCGAATGAATTATCCTTGTTTACAACGGCAGTCTTAGCTTTAATAGCTTCAACTGGGAAATAGGTGGCGCCAATTTGTTGCGTTATACCTCCTGCTTCTCCTTCCTGTACATTTGTCTGCCTAATCTTATCTAGTAATTTGGTTTTCCCAGTGTCTACGTGCCCTAGGATACAGCAGATAGGGGATCGGAGGTTGTCCTTCGATTGAGCTGCCAAAGCAGCTTCATGAGCTTTCAATCTCCTCTCTGCTGCTTCTTGTTTTCTTGCGAGGGCAGCAGCTTGAGCAGCCGTTGTATTTTCGTCTTCCGAGGATGAATCTGAGGATTCTGAATCATCTTCATTGCTTGTGGCGGCTTCATTAGCTTTTGCGGCTTTCGTTCTTTCTCTTTCCTCATCAGTGTCAGAATCCCAATTTTCCTTGACATCATCAGATTCGTCAGCAGCTAGCTCCCAGTCATCGATTTCTTTGAGCCCATCGTTACTGATAGCAACTGCTTCGGCTGACTCCTCTTGAGCCTTAGCAGCCGCTTCTGCAATCCTTTGTTCTGCCTCAATTCTGGCTCGTTCTGCTGCTTCGGATAGAAGCTTTTCTTCTTCAAGCTACAAATTGTTAGTAAAAGTAGCTTAAATTCGATTGAAGGTGTACTTTAGCCTCTTCTGGATTCTTGCGACCAGTCTTCTTCTTCTTATCGTATTTTGGTTTCTTCTTTTCGGCGGCTTCCGTACCGCCGATTTTGACACCAGCAGCAATCATCTGGTTCAGCTTCATCTCATTCCGAAGCTTCTCGTCCCTCTGAGCTTTGGTTAGATATGTGCCATCCTTTTTTTGTTGTTCAATTTTCTCTTTCTCTCTCTGTTTTTTAAGAGCTTTGGCTGCTTCTCGTTTTTTTTCTTCCTCAGCTTCTCGAAGGATTTCCTCTTCAATCCTAGCCTTTTCTTCTGCTATCAATCGAGCCTTTTCTTCCTCAATTCGCTTCAGCTTTTCTTGTTGTGCCTGTAGTTTAGCTAGAGCAGCAGGCAGTTTTTTGCCTTTTCCACCAGCTATTGACTTAGCTGGGGCTGGTGATTCGGCCACTTCAACAACTTGTTTTTCGGGTTCGGTAGATGGCTGGACAGTTGAGCCCGGAGTTTTCTTCTTAGCAGCCTGTTTATTCTAAAGTCAGAAGCCGTTTTAGATGAGAGAACTTTAGTTTGACAAACATTATCTTTCTTTCTCTGCTTTTCTCGCTCCTTCTTAAGCTTTTCTTTTTGGGCCTTTGTCAGGATCTTTCCACCATCACCTTCCTCACCGGGTACATCTTCATTCTCACGATTGATTGACTTGGGTTGACGTTTGCTTTTTTCTGCTAGAGGCTCAAATTCATCTGCAACAGAAGCTTCCAGCGGGGCCTTGTCAGGAAGGTCAGAGGTCTTAGTCTCAGGGAGGTCTTCCCCTTCTAGAAAATTAGAGCCAGCTTTCTTTTTTTTTTGTCTCTTTCGCATCATGGCCATTAATCCCCCACTTGGTGTAGCTTCCTCATCATTTGGTGCTTCAGAAGCGACGTCATTTGCAAGATCTGGTTGAGCTTCCCCAGATGTAGGCTCTTCATTGCTAGCATTTTGCTTGTTCTTTTTAGGTGGCATCCTGTGAAAAGCTGTTTTATATAATTAGGTCCAGGAAATCAGAGTTTGATTGAGACTAAGTAACTAAAGACTGATTTATGAGTGATCGAGAAATTAATTGGGAAGTGATTCTTTCTAGGCCTCATACGTTCATATCCTAATTACAAACTGAAATTTCATTGACCGATCGAGAATTAAAAACTCCAAAGATATCATATAATTGTTTCTTGATATGTACATGACATAAGAGTGATGGATGGAGGGACGGAGCTCAACCATTAATAATTAAGCGATCCAATCATGGCTCATACATTTACACCCCACTAACTTCTTGGCAGCAACAATTCTCTGGCGGTTCAGCGCAGTATTACTTATTTCAGAATCACATCCCGAAAAATATGAAAGTGATTACAAGGTCATTTTACTTTTACGCTAGATTAAATAAACTGTTTACGGCTTCGATGGTTCATACATGGCTTAAATCGAGTCAGGAAAAGCCTACGACTAAAAATTTACCCGAATGTTAACACCGCAGACTGATCAAGGCTCACGAGTACCGTTACTTCATAGAGATACAGTCCTTAGTAGCTCATGATCTATCCATTCTTTAGCATCTGATATTTGATACCTACCCACCCAGCATGAGCTCCTTGGTCCATTTGAATGCTTACAAATCTTTGTCCAAGACTTTGTGGAATATGTGGACCCCCTGCCTAGAGACCAAGGATGACACTGCTTATTTATTTGCTCCCACTCAGTTAAAACATCTTCTACATGCTCCTGAGTTGATACACTTAGAGATCCTTCTGTCCATCTGTTTTTCTACATCCTAATCAATTTCACGAGAACCAATTCTACTTTCACCGTCCACATGAATAATACCAGGAGATGACATGTGTGGATTGATCAAACGTAACTGTTCCGTATAGGTTCTAGAAATTTTGCACGGTAACAGATTCAGTTAGAACTGTTATACACATCTCACAATCTTATCTAATTTCATGATGATCTTTTGCGAAGTTGTGGCAACTAGAAGAACTTAACAGGCACCAACTACGGTGCTCACGTAATGCAAACCTCATGACCAATTCCAAAGACACAACTTCCCTTCTGGAGCCGCTGGGAAGACCACTCTGCCACGCGTTAAATTTTTATTTTTTTAGTTCATTAAGTGTCAGCAGGCTATATAGCTGGAGGGAAAAGACTGAACACCTGTACGCAATGTCTTCTATGAACCTAGGAGTGAAATATCCTCCCATAGCCAAGTTTAGCCCAATTCTGCAATACCAATGAAGTTTGCCCACGAGACAATTGTTACGATACTCTGCCATATCAATCTTTCACTCCCATCGAGATCGACTCCTACCTAAGCCTCATCAAGTCTACAAGTACGACCTAGTGCATCCTCATTCCAATGATCACACCTCTTGTCGACTTTCCCTGGCCTCGGTTGACTATCAAGTACACGCCCGCGCTGATATTTACAACCGACGGAGGAAACACAGCGTAGCGCAACAATCTGGGAGACTGTTCTTTGGGATAGACGTGAGAGTGATTAGGACTAGTTTACAGGATGACACAGGGGATGGATACCATATAAATGGGCGTGGAATTTCGAATTTTGGCAAGGAGTTTTTACAAATTGAGATTTTCGCGCACCAAGGCTTTGATTGCGAAAGTGCAGCTGAAACTTTAAACTCAAGTCAACTGTGGATGGTGCCGTAGTTTGCATCCTGGCGGTGTTATCTAGTATAGTCTGAGTAGCCTGGGCACCTACTCCACTTGGGAAGGAGACACGTCAGACCGCATTCTTTGGGAAGACAAGCCAATGAATGATGGAGGCATGTCTGGATAATTCAGAGTTATTGAGACGTTCCCCTGGGTGGGTATTCACGGATGAGTGTTGAATTAGGGTGAAGAAAAAGCTACCATATATTCGTAGTGGTATTTGCAAATGAAATCCGAGGCAAGAGTGCTCTTCTTGTATATCGTATCATCTGTTCTGTACTTCTTCTCTGATATTTTGAAATAGTTAATTAGCTGTGTACGCAATTATAACAGGATGCAAGGGCTTGTCCCTCAATATCCATATGAACAAATTTTGGCATATTTCAAAATTAAATTTCTCAAATATAATTAGAATCTTTAATTAGATTCATAAAGTCCTCCATAGTTTTAGACTCAGTGGGGACTATAATAAAAATCTAATCTAATCAACAACAGGATGCAAAATGACAGGCTATCTATCTATGAAGCGGCGCTGCAGAGTTGTGAATACATTAGAAGAAGACTATCTACCTCCCTGGCCTATTCAAAATACCTTCCGTTATTCGTGGCTTAGAGAAGAGCTAGAGCTGTGTCAGAATATCAGCAAATTTCTCATGTATAGTTTTTTCTTGCAAGTAACGTAGCAACTCCATTTTTTGTGGACTTGGGATCAAGGCAGATTGCAGTCCTTTACACATGAGCAGCCCTCCGGATTAGTTGGGCTCAATTTCAGCTCTGCATATTCTATGGTCAAACCGAAAGATTTAAGGGGTATTGCCTATACGAAATAATTCTCTCTCCCCCACGCCCGCAAGATTTGTCAGGAGAGAATTTCACACTGTTGTCAGTTGCAAGTATTTTACTGCTTTGAAAAAATATTATACCAGGATGAAGTACTGGAATAAAGTTCAGGTATCAGTTTGCTCAGTCTATTCTGATTACCTGACAAGACAAAATGGGCTTAGTTATGGCGAAATTTTTAACAGATGAGCCTAGCGATGGAGGCGTCGTTGAGGGTGTTATCCAGTCAAATAGTTTTCTCCCTATTGATACTCTCCCGCATCTGCTCAAACAGTATTCAAAGCCCAGCTCATGTCCAGACAGATAACCCTAAGTTCGTGATCTTCATTGAGCCAATGTTCCTAATCTCTAATTAGACGTGTCAACGTTGTGGGTGTGAAAATCCCCACTGGGGTCATTTGATACAAGATTTATCTGGTTTTACCACTGTATTTTTTTGGTAATTTAGGCATGGAAATGAGCGTTACCATTAATTTCATGTCTAATTTTCCAGTGGATGGTGGTTGGAGACTGATCGGAGAGTTTAGATGCCCACACGATGCCCAATCATGCCTTAGATTATATTAGTTGGTTGTTTGGTGACGAAGCGATTGGTATTCTGGCTAATTCTAGAAATCCCTCCTTTGCCAAGTGTTGCCCAAATGTAACTAATAAAACTTTTGTTGATTAATGATTACTCAAAAAACTCCCATTCCCTCTGGTGGGGAAGAACAACGTCTTGGCATCGGAATAATTGTTCAGCCTTGAATCCTTGGTGGGTACCGCTGATGGTAGTTCTGCTTTCATTCAATTTAAAGTGTGATATTTCGTAGTTAAAATGATTTGGGGGCTCATAAATTATGGCTGCGTTAGCATATCCTAGTTGTTCAGCATCCTTCATCCACTACAGTGTGGGTGTACTAAATTATTTATCTTATTAAGTTTGTAACAATAAATGGGTCGCCGTAGTCTTAGATTTATATTCTATGGTCTATTTTGATTTTATTTAGCCCGTTCAGGTATCCTATGGGCCCATGCAGGTATATCTTTACTATTTACACAGGAGGAAACCAAATTCGGTAAAGCCCCCCTAAAACTTTCTGTCTCGTGTCTATTAGTTTTCTGAAGTTTTCTACAGGAAGTGCGATTACACTGTTTATACAGTGTGAAATCCGTTTTATCCTTGTCCACATCGTCTCATCCTTTTGTCCAATGCTATTTCTACTTCTCCTGCAAGCCGGAATTGTTCAAACCAGCCTTTTGTCAGGATCCATTTTGTAATTCTCTCTATGTCATCTGGGCTGTTCATTGTCGCAAATGACCTGTCTTTTGCCTTTCGAAGCACCTCTCCTCTTCCAATTGCCCACTGAGAACACGCCAAGACTATATGTTTGATATTTTGAGACGCATATCCACGCTGGCATTTTGGATTAATCATTCCGGGGACTTTCCTTCGATACAGATAAGAATTGAGACCAATGTGCTCAATTCTTATCTGAACTGCAATACTGCTTTGGGCCCTACTAAGGTTTCGGTGGATATTTGAGGGTGTGTTTCTATATGTAATCCTTTTTCTGCCTGTTGTCTCATCTGTAACAATATTTGCGGCTCTCCAATGTTCAGGGTCTACCGAAGCTAGATGACCAGATAGTGTCTCGTTTCCTGCACGTGACCATGAGTTTTTCAACTTCTGGAACGCGGCCACCTTACCGGCTTCTTTTTGTCTCCCTTTCGCACTCTCCATGCCACAAAGTCTGGTCCATTCTTCAATGTCTTCTATGGTCTATTACTGGTGATATTTCTTTACTTATAATTTTTAACGTCGTGCCCGCGCACAGCACGTGAGCTCCTCACGTATCGGTTGGCCCAGTCTATATAAAGCTACCCGACGTTTTGGCGCCTGCATAGACTCAACATAGCAAATGAAGACTAGGATCTTATTATCCTGTGCTCGAAGATTTAATTAAACATGAAAATCAGCCTCCCGTTGTCTCTCATGATTTGCAGATTTTATTCCATGGAGAGTATAAGGCAAAAAAATAAAATTATTAAAGAGGAAAATGGGTTTCGTCGCTTTAAAGCTCTCTCGCATTTGTTACACGACTTCATTCTCGTCAGACTTGTTGTCGTCCTTTTCCAAAATAGCTTATGTCACGTACCCAGCTACAAAATGCATGAACTCCCTCCGCTGTAGCAAGAGCCCAAGATATGCTGGGATTGAAGATCTAAGCCCTGTAGAGCTGTACCTAGTACTGTCCGAGGTTGCAATAGAAAAAGTGATCGGTGGACTTCTCTTCTCCGCATGAGCAGGTTAGAATGGCGTTTTCGTGCTGAAACCGTTGGTGGTAGAATGCGAAATCGACATGTCCAGACCGTGCAGCTAATATATATCCTAGTGTGCGTCGCCCTAGACATGCGAGCTCGGCAGTAATCTTAGCATTAGGGCCAATTCCTAATTCCTTATATCTAGATGG